TGTTCAAAATTGTTGTTTTTATTTTAAAATTTTTAATATTAATTATTAGTATGTTCAAAATAATTATAGTAACATATGTTGAAAGCTTAACAATATAGTGATATTTGATTCTTAATTTTTTAGAATGACTCCAAAAAAGGTGACATTGGTTGGGATCACACAACCAATATTTTTGATAACGCCCTTGTAATTTCTTTTGATTATTCTGAATGTGTTAATTAACGTAATATGAGAATATGATGCATGAATGATGATGTTTATATTTTTTAGGATTTTTCATGATTTTTATAATTTTTTTTTAACTTTTTATTTAGCATTTTGAGCGTATCGGCCGATACCGTGCCGCCACACCGCGACTTTGAACCATGGTCGTGCATCCAAGGCGAGGATGCCAACAATTCCAGAAGGAAGAGATGACGAATCAGGAAATTGTTGATTGAGCTGCTGAGAGCAAACTCAATTAGCCATGAAGTCAGCAGCCTGATTCACCTCCAGCAGGATGTGGCAGACGTGAGCCGAGAGAGAAGCATACAGAAGACGAATGCGAGTAAACAGGTAAGCATAAATCCAGCACCTAGTACCCTGAAAATAAACCTAAGAAACCACTGTAGCTAAATCTGACTCTACTACCAACTCTGAAGCTCTCAAATCTGCAGCCAACTCCAACCTAGCACAAACAGTCTGCATCTCCGCATACAGAATAGGTTGATGCCACAAAAACAAGCCAAAAGCCCTGAGAACCCAACCTTGGTGGTCCCGAATAACACCCCATGCTGCAGATAGCCCCGAATTGCCTTTAGAACAACAGTCAACATTGATCTTCAGGCAACCTAATACAGAACAAGTCCAAGCAACCAAGCGAAGAGGCAGAGGCCGAGGCTAAGGAGCCAAGACCCTAAGAGAACCCAAACTTTTATACTAGAAAAATATATGACAGTTAGTCTCAGGTGCATATTGATAAGCATTTATATCTTTTCGGGATAAATTAATATTTTTAAATTTTGATATTTGAGTGATCTTTCGGAGCGCAACTTAAAAGGTGAATTGCAAAGAGTAATTCATTGTCTCAAAAGTATTTGGCGACCCACGAGATGTCCGTCTTTCGTTGAGGAGAAAGTATACACTCTATACAACACCAAGGTGCTTGTTTACCCGGTTGTCATGGAAAACTTTCATTTACCTGGCCACAAGAGGAAGAGATCGCCTGACTTCATCTCCCAACAATGATGAAGAAGCTCACACCTATGTTTTCAAGAATCCTATCCTAAAATAATGATGATAGATGCACTTCACTCGAGCCTTATTCCATCAAGTTTCAACCCAACGAAAATGGCAAAAAGAACAGGGTAATGGGTTTGCTTCGTTGCACCCCTTACAAGTTAGACCTATACGGATAATTTCTAGGGCTTTTTAGAAGCTAGTCAACAGTTATGGATTTTTAGTGGAAAAAGTCCATGCAAAAAATTTTTGGCACTTTAAAGACAATCACGTTTGCAAAAACCGAAATAACATTATTCTTTTTTTAATTTTAATAAGAACCATATAAAATACACAATTTAAAATTCAAATAAAATCAAATCTACTTCATCATAGATATTTCATAATTAAACTATCTATATAAAATTCACATTTCAAAATTTAAAATATACTCAATTTTTTTATATTTTAGGTTTTTTTTTTAATTTATATATATATATAATGCACATTACGACACTAAGACATATTACTTCATAAGACAATACCTCTGATACTGTTCTGGAATAGTGAAAATACTCCACTGTTACTACGTTGGGATAGTGACATCACTTATTACTATTCAAGATGGTAACAATTACTCAAATGACTATCCTACAAGAAGAACAAATATAAAAATTTGAAAAAAATAAGATAAATTTTGATAATACACGGTGTAATTTTGTTGTCACTGTGACACACCTACAATGACATTTGTATGTCTATATATCAGAGGGGGAGAGAGAGAATCCTAATTTGGAGAGAAAAATGAACTCACTTGGTCATTATCGATGAATTCAACAAATATTGTCAACATGAGCTGTACAAATAACATTTTGAAATGCAATCATCATAGGTTGGTGCTGTTGTTTCCTATTTTGTTCTTCTCTCTGAGCTGATCTTCCTCTTACCCTCAAGAAATTGAATTTCTGAGTTTATGCATTCTGTCCACGGCAATACTCATTGGCATCCTATCTCCAGGTAAGTCAGCAGAACACAAAAGCCAAATTTCTATCACAGAAACCAGGCACTCCTCCATTCTACTGCCACCACTGCTTTGGGGATCATCACCACCAATTCTTACGATTTCTATCTCCTCGTTTCCGTTTTCATCTAAGTTGCCTCCTCCTCCTCCCTTTCTTGCCAACAGCAGCGATGAGTCTACCATCTCCATGATATTTTCAGGCAAAGCCATTTTAGCAAAGTTGGGAATGCTCAGACCATCTTCGAAAATGTCTTCAGTTGGCCTTTTAGCAGGTATCATTTGGAGCAGGAGTATGTCATAGCTGTATACCATATCAGAGATTTGATTCGTATCATTTTTACTGTATATTGTGACGTATCACGTATTGTATGACATGAATATTATGTCCTTTTTTTATTCCGAATATTATGCCCTTTTTTTATTCCATGTCTTAGTAAAGCTAAATAATGTTAGATATATTTTCTTCTAGTAGTTTAGTTTTGATTATTAACATATTTCTTATGTTGTATTTAAAAATATGTCCAAACTTTTAATAGTTTTTATCAATTGGTGTCCACCCTAAAGTGAAATTCTAGCTTCCGCCACTAATCACCTTTTATATTAGTTGAAAGAGTTCTCTTCTCATTCACCAAAATAGCAACTTGAACTACAAACTCATGCTATTCTAGTACATACTCAATCCTGAAGCTTCATTTCATCATGCTTCAATAACACCACGAAAACGCATGGCTTAAAAGGTTGTGTAAATTGTATTTACCTCCTTATAGTTTAGCTACGTTGCATATAACCGCTTACACATTAGACCGATGCGGATAATCTCCATTCAGGAGGTTATGGACTACAAAATAACTTAAATACCCCTCTAATAAATATTTGTAATTTTGTTCTATGAACAGAAAACATAGGGGTTTGTAAATTTTACAAACTGAGACAAATCTAAAATGACAAGAAACCCGAAAACTAATTTATCTGCATCATAACTGAGTCAAAACAAGTTAGTTGTTCACTTTAATCCATTTGCATTATTTGCATGTTTTCGAGTCAGGGTACAACTCAATCAAACCACAATAAGGTAAAATATATTTACAAACTTGTAACCAGAAACATTAAAATATATTCACCTCACATTAGTAGCGATTTGGGATCAATTTCAAGTGTCACAACTAATTTACGTGCCTGTTTGGAGGNAATTTACCTCACATTAGTAGCGATTTGGGATCAATTTCAAGTGTCACAACTAATTTACGTGCCTGTTTGGAGGCGCAATGCTATTTCAGAGGAGTGAAGCTGGTAATACAAAGGAAAGACAGTCTGAGCACATATTTTAACTTTCCAAACACTCTTGCAAGTTACGCCTTGAATGATTATTTGATTAGCGGTAGGTGTATCAAAGTATGACATGATTTGTTAATACAAGATGAACATGATATATGACGATGCACAAATTGGTCTTGTGTAAGATCAATAGTCGAATATATGAACGGGTATAATTAATGAGCAATAAATAAGATAATCAATGACAAAACAGTAAATAAGAGCAAACATGCAGATTTATAGTGGTTCGGTCTAGATGATCCACTCCACTCTCGAGAGCGGCAGTGGTAATCGGAGATCTTTATTGATGAATAAAAGTCACCGAGAGAGTATACTCCAAGAGAATTACAATGCTTTAGGAGGGAGATAGACTTGGTGTGTAGAGAGGTGTAGAGATGTAATGTGGTGCGTAGAGGTCTCAAAGGTGATGCCCCTCCATGTAGAGAGATCTTATATTATATAGGTTTGGTGAGGTGGTGACGTGAGGGAGAAAATACTACTCTTTTGAGAAGTATAATTAAGGTAGGATTGGATTTCCTTGAGTGCGTATCCTGACAATTTCTCTCACGTACACCTATCTCTCCGGGCTCCCTGGATCCTGAACTCGATTGGATTGGCAAAGAGGGCTTGGGTCGCCCTTCAACTGATTTGGGCCCTTTTGATTTATTGGGTCTAGCCCAGTTGATTTTGGACTCATCATTTGCCCTTCATGCCCCATGCCTCCGACTATTTGCGAGAGAGGGGGTTAAGGGCATGAGCTGCTTCTTTATTTGAGTGAGTGGGAGTTTTCTTGCTCCCTACGACGCCCTTTCATTTTCAGGGACTCTTTGTTGAACTTACTTACATTGGATATTTTTTACATTTTTCGGCATTCCTCTTGCTGGGTCTTTGTCAATAAATTGATGTCTTTAGTCTCTTCAACCTCATTTCTTCCTTTATTTCTTCTGAGGCTTCTCCTAGAAGCCATTCCTTTTTCCTCAAAGGTTTCTCCAAGAAGCCATTCTTCAAAGCTTCTCCTGGAAGCCATCTTCAAGGCTTCTCTTGGAAGCTATCCTCAAGGCTTCTCTTGGAAGCTATGTATTCCCCAACCCATTTCTCTCCCTCGGTCTTCTCTCTTTCGAAACAAAACAAAGCAATGGAAACCAAGAGCTCGAAGAGTCGTGGAGGGGACCTCAATGGCGTTTCAATTAGAAAAAAAGACAGTTTGAGGAGAGAAGCAAGGAGGAGCCCACGGCCTTGGTCTCATAGGCGGCACCCATGGGGGTGACATAGTGGGCGGCGCCCATGGTGGAGGCATACTGGGCAGCGCCCATGATGGCGGGCTCACGGCTGGAGACGACAAAATCTCAATGGAGAGAGAGGAGGGCAAGAGGTCCTTTGGAACTTTTGGTGTGACAGGCGTGAGGAAAGAGACCTCAGGAGACCCTCGTTGCATAGTGGGCGGCGCCCACAACGCGGGGGGTGGTGCCTAAGGAGTTGGAGATAAGGCCTCGGCTGGCGGTAGTTGAGGAGTGGAGCATGATGTTGGGTGCTCGGCTATAAATGGTAGGACCTTAATGGAGAGGGCAGCCAAAGAGCCCGAGGAGGGAGGCACTAGAGGCAGCGCCCAAGGTGTTGGCCCCACTGTAAGAGGTGCCCAAGGAGCTATGGGTCACACCACAAGGGCTGAAATGAGGAGAGGCTTTGGCAAGGAGATCATGGGCGATGCCATCAAGGGACCTATAGGCGGCGGCGCCATGGCAGGCGAGGGCGTCATGGGCGGCGCCCATTATAGGAAAGAGGCGTCATGGGCTTTATTCTTGGCGGTATTGGACCTGTGACAGGCAAAGGCAAAAGGCATGTGGGACACGTCGCAGGTGCGACTCAGCTACTAGGTGGTTCCCTAGCGGAGACAGGCAGTGCCAGCCGCATGCTGGGTGGTGCCCCAGGCGTGCCAGGTGGCACCTACGGTGTTGACTCCCTTGCTCCAATCAGCGACAATGACTTGGATGCCTTGGATGATGTTGGTAAAGGTCCAGGCAATTTGGGCAATTCCAGGGAGCTTGCGGGCAAGTCTAGTGACACTTCTCCTCCTCCTTCTAAAAAGGCAAAGTCTGGTGCCCCCAGTACTTCTCAACTGAGGCTCCCTGGTCAGGCTGTTCCCCGAGAGGCAGGGCTCAATGATGTTACCCGTTCTACTCTGATTGAAGTCTCCTCGCCCCTCAAGAATGGTCCCAGCACTACTGTGGAGGCTGAGGCTTCGACACAGTCCCTCATTAGGGCGGAGGGTTTGCCTAGCTGTCCTACTTCAAGCAGCACCTTAGTATCTATGTTACGGGACGTGAGGTTGGCCAAGGAAAGATTTTGGGGGTTTATGACTAGACGGAGGTTGCCTCCCAAGGTCCAAAGGGCATTGTTAACGCTCCTATGGAGGGCTTTGTTTTGGTATGTCTCGCACTCTTCTTTGGCTTTGTACCTTACTTTATTCCTTCATACTTTGGCTTTGTACCTTATTTTTTTCCTTTATATTTTCACTTCGAATGCCTATAGGTGGCTGCTACTTTGCCCTGCTTGTTTACAAATACGCGAAAGATCAGGGAGGCAATTGATGGCCAGGCAGCGGAGAGGCGGGCACGCGAGGCTGCTGAAGAACAGTTAGGGCTCGAGCTGCAAGCACGAGAGGATGCAGCGGAGCAGTTAAGGCTTGAGCACGAGAGGATGCCGCAAAACTGTTGGGGCTTGAGCGACAAGCATAAGAGGATGCCGCAGAGCAATTGAGGCTAGCGCATGAGAGGGCTACCCAACTAGAGGCTGACCTTCGAATAGCACTTGAAAGAGCAACTAGGGTAAAGGCTCACTCCATAGAGATGGAGAAAAGGAGAATGCTGTTGAGAGGGCCATGACAAACGCCTTTATTGATGGCTACGATAAGCTCAGGAGGAAGATCTCAACACCATTCTCTGCTTATGACTTTTTTGACTTTTTACCTTATGAGGCTCTAGAGACTAATGAGGAGGATGCGAGCAATGATGGGAGCGAAGGCAGTGAGTGTCACTAGGAGCGTGGTTCTTTTGTATTTTTCGTTGATAGATTATATCCTATCTTTTGTAAAAGCTTTATAAAGTTGAATGAAATAAAAAATTTTGAAAAAATATTGCGAAATTTTATTTCATAATTTAAAGTAAGTACTTGAAAGAAGTTGACCAAAATAGAAGGTAAATAATTTAAATAGTGACCATCAACTCATGACTCACTATCTTGCCCCCAGCTACTGGTAATATTTTTTTAGATGTTCTACGTTCTATGGATGGACCAGGACTTTTCTTTCAAAATTCTAGATTCTGTAGGTACTCGGTCTTACCACCTCTGTGACCGTGTATGGTCCTTTCTAGTTAGGTCCTAGTTTTCCTTCCTGGGAGTCTTTGGTAGACAGGATGACCTTTTTGAGGATTAGGTCTCCAGGTAAGAAGGAGCGAGGCTTCACCCTGGAGTTGTAGTACTTGGTCATGCGACGCTTGTACTCTACATTCCTAAGCATAGCTATCTCCCTCTCCTCTTCTACCATGTCGAGGTTGATGTTGAGGCCTTCTTCATTGTTGGGTAGGGTCATGGTGCTGGACCCTAAGGGAGTGTGCCCCAATCTTAACGGGTATCATTACCTTTGTCCCATAGGCTAGGAAAAAGAGGTCTCACCTGTAGGGCTCCTTGATGTCGTTTGGTAAGACTATAGAACTCTTGGGAGTTCATTTACCCACCGTCTTTTTGCATTCTCCAGTCTGGCTTTCAAATTGCGAAGTATGGTCCTAACGACGGTAACTTTTACTTGCCCGTTTGCTTGTAGATTGGCAGGGCTGGAGTGAGGCTGCTTGATCTATAGGTTGGCGCAAAAATTGTTGAGGAGCTTGTTGTCAAACTGTATTGGCATTGTCACTTACTATAACATGAGGTATTCCAAAGCGACAGACTATACTCCTCCGTATGAAGTCCTTTATCTTCTAGTTTGTTATTCTGGTTAGGCCTTCAGCTTTTGCCTACTTAGTAAAGTAATCGATGGTTATGACTACGAACTTGTACTGGTGTTGACTCATAGAGAGGGGACCTAGGATGTCGATCCCCCACATAGAGAAAGGTCATGGGCTCTGAATGGTGGTGAGCTCTTTGGGTGGCTGTTTAGGCATAGTCGCGAAGCGTTGACACTTGTCGCATTTTTTGACAAACTCACGGTTGTCTCGGATCATGGTAGGCCAATAATATCCCTATCTGACGACTTTATGGGCCAGTGCATGCCCTTCTGAGGGATTTTCACATATCCCCTCATGGATCTCCCTCATGGCGTAATTGACTTCTTCGGGGGTGAGACAACAAAGTAGTGGAAGAAAATGACTTTTCTTATAGAAAGTGTTTTATAGGATGACATACCTGAATGTTCTCATTCTCAATCTCTTGGCTTCCACGAGATTGTTTGGGAGATCGCCTTCCTCTAGGCAAGCTCGGATGAGAGTCATCTAATTGGATTCCGAGGATGCACAGCTGATATTGTCCTCCTCTGTCTTGAAGATACTAGGCTCGAATTGGTGAACTGTCAGCGTCGGGCCCAAGAGTATGTTGGTAGACGTGAACTTGGCGAAGGTGTCTGCCATGACGTTCTCTTCTAAAGGCGCATGGTTGATTTGGAAGCTGGTGAACTTTTTTAGCAGGGCTTGGACCACTGTGAGGTAATCTTGCATTCTTCCTTTGCTTCAAAGTCTCCCTTTACCTGGTTGACTATGAATTGAGAAGCACTGTAGGCTGTCAGGTAAAAGGCCTCCATCTCCATTGCCAGCCTTAAGCTTGATATGAGGGCCTCATATTCAGCTTGATTGTTTGATGTGGCAAAGTGGAGGGAGACGAAAGGCATCACCCTGTAATAGTAGGTTCCCCTAGGGGTGATGAATGAGATTTTCTCCTAATTTGTAAGAAATATGTTATTTTGGTTGTACCCGGAGTAGGCATCCAAAAAATTCAGGAGCTCATGTTCGTCAATGGCGTCAATAAGAAGGTCGATGTGTGAGAGAGGATAGCTGTCTTTGGGATAGGCTTTGTTGAGCTTCGTGAAGTCTATGCAGAGGTGTCATTTCCCATTGGCCTTTGTCACCATCACTACATTGGATAGCCAGTTTGGGTAGACTACCTCTCTCACTGACCCATTCGTTAGTAGCTTGTCAACCTCCTTCTCCATGGCCCCCTCTCTTGGCACTTACGTTCCTTAACTTTTGGCGGACAGGCTTGTACTTGGGATCAATGTTGAGTCGGTTAGAGGCCACTTTAGGGTCGATGCCCTCCAAGTCTTTGTGGGACTAGGCGAAGACATCCATGTTCTACCTGAGGAAGTCAATCAAGGCAGTAGCCTGCTCCTCGGAGAGTGAGGAGCCTATATAGACTCTTCTCTCTAGAAGGCTGTCATCTGTTATTACTGGTTGAAGCCCTTCTGTTGGTTCACCCCCTCTTCAAGGTATTGTCATCCCTTTGGTCAAGTACTTCGACTTAGAGAGTCTCGTGTGGTTTATTGGCCCTCATAGAGGCCACGTAGCACTCTCGGGCAGAGATCTAGTCTCCTCTGATCTCTCCAATCCCCTTGGTGGTTAGAAAATAGATGAGAAAATAGTAGTTAGACGACACTGCCCTTAGGGTATTGAGGGCAGGGCATCCAAGAATTATATTGTATGCAAAAGGGCAATCAAGTATAATAAAGTTTACCATGATTGTGGAGCTCCTCGGTGTAGTTTCTGCTATGACAGACAAAGTGATAGATCCCAAGGGATAAACTCTTTCTCCTGAGAAGCCAACTAAGGGAGTCCTGACGGGCTGTAGTCTCTCCTTACTTAGGTGAAGGCTGTCGTGAACAGAATGTCGACTAAGCTGCTGCTGTCGACAAGGACCCTCTTAACCTGATAGTTGGCCACCATCAGGGTCAAGACTAGAGGGTCATCATATGGGACCTAGATCCCCTCAAGGTCTCTATCTGAGAAGGTGATGACCTCCTCCTTCCCATGTCAGAGTCATGTGACTCTTCGGGTATGTGCTTTTCTAGTAGAGTTGGAGTCACCACCTCCGAGGGGCTGCTGGCACTCTTGTTCTTCGTGTGGTGGAAACTGGTCCTCAGCTAACAACATACTATCCCAGCTGGCCACGCTAAATAATTTCTTCGATCTGCCTCTTTAACTGGAAGCAGTCGTCAGTGTCATGATCGTGGTTGCGGTGGAAGAGACAGTACTTATTGGGATTTCGGCGCTTCGGATCACACTTCATTTTTCCGGGCCAACGAATCGTGGGGTCATCTAGTATGTGCAATAGGTTGTGCCCCACGTAGGCGTTACGTGAAAGGCTATTGGTCTCTCGGGGGTAATGGACCAAGACAGTCTTTTCACAAATACTCTCTCGGTCTTCTTCCTCTTGTTCTCTACCTCCCTCCTGCCTTCGCGGGTGTCCTTCCTCTTTTCTCCTCATCGGGATGACTCACCTTTATGGGCTTTGGTGACATCCTCGACATTCATGTATTTTTGTGCCCTAAACAGCAGCTCGAGCATGCTAGTGGGCGGTTTCTTAAGAATAGAGAACATAAAACTGGAGGAGCGAAGACTAGGAATAAAGGCGGTCAAGACTACCTTATCATCTGGCTCCTCAATCTAGAGAGTCTCCTCGTTGAAACGAGCGAGGTAGTCTTTAAGACTTTCATCCTTGTCCTGGTTGGTGGTGAGTAGGTGGGTCATAGGTTTCTGATGTCAGCGTCCCCTAATGAAGTGGAAGACGA